GGATATGTATGGCCGGCAGAGGAAAACGCCACTTATTGACGACCAGATTGCACAACAATCAATAGGCATTTGAGGGACAGCATTGACTGGGGTTCAGCAGATGAGGAGGATGGTAGTAGCGAAGGGCATGGGCAATATGGGGACGACGATAATGACGACGACGAGGACCAGTACGATGACGATAACTGTGCTTATGGCTGTAGAGAGGATATACGTAGTGTGTTTGACGAAGTAATATAATAGGACAATATTTATATTTATAGAAGTTATAGTATATAAATTTAATAACGTACATGTATAGCGAAAGCGCCAAACAAGTGAAAGCGCCAAAATGATGCGGTGACCAAACCCCCCAACTAAATGTTAAATTCCTCAACAACAAAACATGCCCCATAAAAACGATGAAAGCCAATTAGTGCTAGCTATCCAGGCTATGCAAAGCGACCCAAAGTTACGCCTTTGAGTTGCTGCTAGGATCTATTCTGTGGACCACCGCAAGCTAGGTCGTCGTCTAGAAGGTGTACCTTCACGACGCGATATCCAAGCCAACTCACGGAAATTAACTAACCTAGAGGAGTCCGTCCTTGTTCAGTATATACTCACCTAGCTGCCAAAGGGTTTCCTCCTCGGCTGTCTGTTGTTGAAGATATGGCAAGTCGACTACTTGCAACACGCGACGCGTCACGCGTTGGGTCGCGTTGGGCTTCAAACTTTGTTAAGCGGCGTGTAGAGCTCCAGACATGCTTTCAGCGCAAATACGACTACCAGAGGGCTAAGTGCGAAGATCCAGAAGTTATTAATGGCTGGTTTGAGCTTGTGCGTAACACAATTGCGAAATATGGTATCGATGAAGCAGATATCTACAACTTTGATGAGACTGGGTTTATGATGGGCGTTATCTCAACTGCTATGGTTGTAACAAGCTCAGACGGGCGGGCAAAAGCAAAGAAGGTACAGCCTGGTAATCGGGAATGGGTTACAGTAATCCAAGGCGTTAGTTCTCAAGGTTGGGCAGTACCACCATTTATCATTGTTGCAGGCAAAAACCACCTTACATCTTGGTATGAGAATAGTGGATTTTCAAGCGATTGGGTGATTTCTGTTACTGAAAATGGCTGGACTACAAACGAGAGAGGCATGGATTGGATTCAGCACTTTGAGAAGCATACAAAGGCCCGGAGTGTTGGTGGTTATCGCTTGTTAGTCCTTGATGGTCATGAGAGCCACCACTCAGATGAGTTTGAGGAGTACTGCAAGGAACACAACATTATTACGCTTTGTATGCCTGCTCACTCTTCTCATCTACTCCAGCCACTTGATGTTGGCTGTTTCGGCCCGTTAAAGCAGGCCTATGGTCGGCAAATTGAAGATATGATGCAGGCTCATATTTCTCATATTACAAAGGATGACTTCTTTCCTGCCTTCCACGCTGCATTTAACACTACAATGACGGAAAGTAACATTCGAGGCGGGTTCCGAGGGGCAGGGCTTCTTCCATTTGACCCTGAGAGAGTGATATCTACACTTGATCTTAAGTTAAGGACACCAACGCCTCCAAGCTCCCGCCCAGGTACTGCTCAACCTTGGGTTTCTCAGACACCAAACAACCCAATTGAAGCTATGTCACAGTCTACATTTATTAAAACTCGGATTTCACGCCATCAAAATAGCTCTCCAACCTCAATCTATGCAGCTGTTGACCAGTTTACAAAGGGTGCATCGCAAATAATGCATCAATTAGCACTGCTAAAGGGAGAGAACCAAAACCTACGACAGGCAAATGAAGTACTAAGCAAGCGCCGGAGAGCTAGGAAAACACGACTACAGCAAGGAGGATCACTTAGTCAACAAGGGGCGCAAGAGCTACAGGATGAGAGGGATGTTGTGCAGCAGGTAGAGCAGGAAATAAGGGCAAGCCGTGGTCGGAAGCCAAGGGAAGAAACCCGTGCCCGTCGCTGTGGCAAGTGTGGTGAGACTGGGCACAATGCGCGCACGTGTCAGATTGTAATAGACACCTCTGAGGAAGAGGACTCCGAGTAGTTTCAATTGATTTCTAATGTTGTGGTAGATTTATCGCAATGTTTGTCGTGAGGGTAGATAATTTTGGCGCTTTCGCTTGTTTGGCGCTTTCGCTATACATGTACGTTATGTGTATCAGATTTTTTAACTCTAACAGTAGCCTCTTATGTGGGCTTCTATTTTATTACTACTATTAATACTATTTCAGTACGTATATTATGTCAGAAGCGTCTTCCTATAGGAAAACTTATTGGCTGTCGGAATATCACCTTCCGGAAATACTACTAGTATCAGCTTAGCGTCAAAATATCATACCACTAAGCCCTTTTGTAGCCAAATTATTGGCTACATAAGACAGTGTGGGTCACTCTATGACCCTTTTATATGATTAATCCTATCCAACGGTCACGAAAAAAGGCCCGGCCCCCCTAAGGTATTCAGGATAGTTCGTGGATAGCTCAACTATCCATTAGCCCCATCACATGGCAGCCTACCCCGCTTGCCCCCTGTGACTCACACATCACGTTACGAGGCCCTGGCCCTGTAACCATGACATCATGTTACTGTAGCCGTAACAACGGTCACGTGGGGAGAGTTAGGGCCGGTTAGCCGAGTCGGACCCGTTTCGGGTACTTAAGGAGATTGACCCAATGGGGGTTCCTCTCTTCATCTTTTTTGTATCCTTCGTAGTAGACCTATAGGATAGCATTCATTTATCCTCTGACTCGCACTCTCATATGCTATTACTGTGAGCTGGGTGCCCTGTGTCCTTACAGTGGTCTCGTCAGCCATCTTGTGTTGTAACATGCATCATACTAACTAGAACCTGAAGCAATAAATTTAAAATCCCTAAAATCATCTACGACCTAATGCTAGTACTAAGTCTGCATGTCTTCCTGCTTAGCATGCTATTTAAGGTTCAGGCCTTCAAGTCTCCTAGCATCTATTCACCTAAGAAATTGTATAGTCTAAACGCTCTGTAGGGGCTGAATGAGCAGGAGCTACTGTTAAAGGATGAGATTCTCTACAATTTTGTCTTTTGTCAAGCGGTTCGTAAGGTGGAAGGTGTTCACATCGCTTACAATCTGCAGCTGTTGTCAGCATTAGTCTAGTACCACATGAAGCTAGGCAGCTAGATCACTAGGTTCAAACAAGTCACGAAGCCGTATGTGCTACATGACGGAGCTGCTAAGGCACTAAATGAGGGTCGGAAGTGTTTTTCTAAGATCCTACTGTGCTTAACTAATGTGGTCTCTTTAGGACAGCTGATGTTAGTGACTCTGTTCAAAACTTAATCTTACAGCATGCAAGTATCAACACCTTCCTTAAACACTATCTTGATTGGAATATCAATGTGGATGTCCAAAATATATATTGGGGACTCGAGCCGCAAAAGGCTTTGATGAGGTTCGCATGTCTAATGAGCTGGTTGATTGACCCCTAGGGCCCCTAGAAGCTGACTTCTACATAATCAGCATGGGTTAATAACCTTCTATGTATTATGAAATTGTCTCAGATCACAGCCCACCTGTCAGGGTCTCTAGAAGGCAGCCGGAGGGAAGAGTGCTATTAGAAGGTTAAAAAATGCCTTACAAGCAAGAGAGCGAGACAGCGGCGGTTGCTACTACTTGACATTGTTGATCGATACAAGAAAGAGCAGCCTGTCATTAACAGCGAGTGGCAGATATCTAGCAAGGTAGTTGACGAGGACGTCTAAGGTGCACTAGAGCGATCGGATCATATGACGCCTAAACAACTGCTTCTAATCGATGTGATTTTGACATCGCCTAAGACATTGCTAGAAAAAGAATGTCAACATAGGATTACAGCCATCTATAACAACTATAGTGTTAAGGAAGGGGTGACCTTCTGTCGCAGTCGTGCTAGTTAGCTAGTTCCACTAGTCTCTGTAGTTAAAGACGAAAAACCACTACGGTCCGAGGCAGATATCTGTCACAGTTCACCAAGGCATAGGGCACCAGTTGGGTATTATGAATTAAACTCAATCTAGAGAAGAAAGGAAAGAGAAGAGGAGCACTCGAGCAGTGGCTCGATCTATATACAGCTATGTTGTTGTGGAGTGAATTCTCTTTAGCGAGACCAGTTCTGAGAATTCACTCCACAACTGAAAACTTCGCTCTAACCCCAGAAAGCTGCCCACACCCCTGAAACCTCACTCGAGCTGCAAGGCGCACTTGATATCGTAACAATATCATGCTTAGACAGGCAATATCTGTAAGGACACAGGGCACCCAGCTCACAGTAATAGCATATGAGAGTGCGAGTCGGAGGCTAAACGGATGCTATCCTATAGGTCTACTATGAAGGGTACAAAAAAGATCATGAGGAACCCCATTGGGTCAATCCCCTTAAGTACCCGAAACGGGTCCGACTCAGCTAACCTGCCCTAACTCTCCCCATGTGACTGTAACCTGTCCGACTCAGATCCCTTCCATCACTGAGGGTGGAGGCATCCTTACAATATCGTCAGTTACGACGGATAAGAGGCCAACTATATGCTTCGCATGTCTTAGAGACCCAAACCTAACGATTCAGGAGATGGTTGACTTGTTTGCAAGCCTTAGCTGCCTAATGAGGCACTTTATGAGAAAGCATGTTAGAAGACTTGGAGTTAACGAGCCTACGGAGTGTCGAATCTGTGACGTCCAGCTCGAGCATCGGATGCATTTTCAAAGCCACGTAGAGAAATTTCACAGAACTGTCTCGCAGTCCTGCAACTAGATGGAATCTTTCAGGAGTGTTATGGCTTCTCTTGATTAGGTAGACAGATTAATTAGATAGGGAGGAGGCAGGAGTATCTGGCATCATTGTTCATAGTTTTAATCTAACTTCCCCCATCAAGATCCATATCAGTTCACGTCTTTAGCAAAGTGACCTGACTCTGCATTTGAATAAATTCAGTCGCGAATACACTAACGGCCCCCAGATTCGCGAACGTTCGCCGTGTCGCTCATTCCCATCTACCACAGTTCTAGTCTCAGTACAGTACCGTGTTGCCAGCCTAATTCGCTTGCAGACGAACCACTCCAACGTAAGTTATCTTTGTGAGACTCTACAAAGACGCCGCAAACATTGCTAGCCTGTATCAACCTCAGCAAGTCTTGCACTGTGTATGTCGTTGGAATGAACACGGTATGGCTTGTTTCCTCTATCCTCTTTTTCTTGTTTGATATCTTGAGCTTCGTTTGGCAACGAAGGACTACAAGGATGTGGTTATAGCCTTCAAGCACAAATGCGTCCCGATCCGGAAAATGAACAGACATCATCCCGTTGTCCCACGTCCACGGTCCGTTGCGTGTTGCAGTCGTGCTAGCAACAATCGCACGGGAGGTTTTAATGTTTGAAGTAATAAAAAGAGCCTTGTCCACCTCTAGACTGCAAGGGTCCCATTTGTCCAAGTCTACGTCGGCATTGTCTCTGACGAGCTTCCACACACCTGGCTGGGGTGAGATGGTCGTGGGATACTGATGGGCAAGTTCTTCCAGTAGGCCATCCACGTAGTTGCGCAGTTGCTGAGAATGTCAGAATTTACACTTAAAGATTCATGTATCGCAACAACAAACCTGCTTACTCATGATATCTCCTAACGTTGGCGTAAAGAGAATCTCATGTGGGAGAATACGGAACGGGATGCGAAGCTGATGCAATTCCTGTCGACGGCCAAGTGCCATAGACGGGTCCGCCGAAGCAACGTTTGAGGCCATTATAATTGAACAAGACAACATAATTACAGAGATGGAACCTTTCAGTCAACCGGAAAGTGTTTCACCTCACACGTGATGGATAACTACTTTTCTTCGCTACACTGCAGCGACATAATCCAAAAAATACATTACCAGTAACTGAAATAAAACACGATCTATAGCCCCCCGATCCACTCCTTGTTGCACATCATGTTAGCGGAAGATGCTACCAGACTCCAGAAGATCGATGAGTTGTACGCGCTCCGCCTTGACCAATATGTGTCCCTGCCCCAAGTTTGTTGCCATTCCCTTCTACAACCAAGCTCAACTAATCCGAAATGTGTGTAGCTTGTCGTCGTGGGCGACCAATCAAGTGGTAAAAGCTCCGTTCTCGAGGGCCTGACCAATCTCCCATTTCCACGAGACTCCGGTCTATGTACTAGATTTCCTACGCAGATCGTGTTTAAGCGCTCGGTGACGGCGAAAATAGAGGTCAGTATCATGGCCGTCCACGGCCAAGAGCAATCCAAATTAGATGCCATTGCGAGGTTTGGTAAGATCCAACTGACAAACTTCGATGAACACTCATTCTCGGACTTATTGGCCAAGGTATAGAAGGCTATGCTTTGATCACCTACAGCCTGATTAATTTGACTGTAGGCATCGGAATGCATGGGGCTTCCCTATCCTGGAAAACAACGGGATGACAAGATGGATTCCTTCTCTCACAACATTCTCAAGTTTGAACTCTCTGGTCCGGAGTATGAAAACTTTAGCGTTGTTGATCTGCCCGGTCTCTTTCGAAGTAAGCTCCTTACATCCTACCATATCAAAGCTAAGATAAGACCACAGAGCCCACTCCAGGTAAGACCAGCAAAGAAGACATGGCTCTTGTTCGTCAAATAGTCGCGGAATATCTAAGGAATCCTCGGAGTATTATATTGTAAGTACGGCACTCCACTTTGAACAAGCACCGGCTGACATGTTTTGCAGAGCAGTTGTTCCTGCCAATATCGACATTGCGACGCAGGAGATAATTCAGATGGCCGAAGATGCAGACCCGGATGGTCAAAGAACACTAGGAGTACTTACAAAGCCAGACCTAGTAGACCGTGGTGCCGAAGAAAAGGTCTGCCGATTCTGTCACCGCAATAAAGATGTATTAATCGTCCCTAGGTCATAGAGCTAGTGATGAACCAGTCTGGTAGCGCTCGTTTTGAGCTTGGCTACACCATTGTATGCAATCGGAGCCAGAGCGACCTTGGTATAACCAATGACGAGCGCAACTCTCGCGAATTCTCATTCTTCAAGCGTGCACCTTGGAGCGCAATCCCGGAGGAGCGAGCGGGCGTGAAATCACTGAAAGATAGATTGAACAACCTCCTAGTTGATGTTACAAGGCACAATTTTCAGGCTGTGGCCGAAGATGTACGGATTAAGATTCGCAACTTGGAACAAGAGTTAGATGACATGGGTCCAGGTCGTCACACACCTAATGACCAACGTAATCATCTTATTAGAATTGCCACCGACGTCCGGGAAATAACATCGAGGGCGATTGATGCATACTACGGTCGCGATCCATGTTTTGAGGACGACACATTTCGTTTGGCAACAAACGTGATGACAATGAACAAGGCCTTTTCCGACACAATCGCGCGCAAAGGATACACGAGGAGGTTCCGTTCTGGATCCAGTCAAAATGCTACCACCATAGAAGTTGAGCCTGAAGTTGATGTTTCTTCCTCAGACGGTCTCGATACGCCAGGGACTCCCGACAACGTTACGGTGAATCAGCTTCTCAAAGAGTACCCAGAACTAAAGGCTGTTATGAGTCCGCCCATTCCAGCACCAGCAACGCCCAAACAGGATATCATGCAATGGATAACGAAACAATACGACAGGTCCAAGGGTTTTGAGATAGGGACTTTGAATCCTTCCCTCCTCCCGTCTCTGTTTTCAGAACAATCCCAGAGCTGGAAAGCTTTTGCTAGCGGACATGTGGAGAATGTGGTGCAAACAATTCACCATTTCAACCACAAAGCGCTCCAGTACTGCTGTAAAGATGCAGCACTAAGCAAGAAGTTATGGGCTAGATTATCTCAGCTCCTGCTACCGAAATACAAGAAATCCCTGGACCAGGTCGACTTTCTAATTGAGGTCGAGCAGCATGGCAATTTACTCACCATGAATCACTACTTCGCTGACAATCTGCGCAAGGCTCGTGAAGATCGAATCAAGAAGCAGCTGGTCAATCTTCAGTCATGGACAACAACTGATAAACAGCCGCTGCTGCGTCTCGAGGATACCATTACGACATTCATAAGTAATGAAGGCCAAACTACACAGGATTTGCATGACACCTTAGAAGCGTATTACAAGGTATCTCGCAAAAGATTCGTGGACGCCATTTGCCTTCAGGCTGTGGACCACTTTCTCATTAGTAGCAAAGAAGGGCCGTTGTGGCTGTTCTCGCCGCAATTAATTGGCAAGTTAACTGACTCCGAGCTGAGCAAGATTGCTGGTGAAAGCCTTCAGACTGTTGCGCACAGAGCGCGGCTCACCGAGGAGATCGCGAATCTAAGGGAGGGCCAAAAGATTCTTGAGGGGTAACATAGAAAACCACGATGAGCAGAGCTTTTCTCCAACGGCTGCTTTGATCTTTACATGCTTAGCTAATAATTCATTTGGTGCCCTTTCATACAATGACTTTTTTTCCTCAGGAAAAATCCAAGTTAATGCTCCTTACTCATTCCACCTTTTTCCGTGCCGTCCATCTTTGTGCCCTTCTTAGGCTGCGCACTACTCGCTCAATACTTGGCTCACCCGCTCAGTGGGTTACTCAGCTAGGTGAGTGAGGTCAATACTCAGTTACTCTGTAAAAACCCAGTGAGTACTTGGCTATCACGTGTAACATCATGTGAACAGTCCCTCATACGACTAATACTGTTTTATGGTTAAGTTAAAGTATTACATCTATTAGCTTGACTCTCGCCATCTCTAGTAAGCTATAAGAACGAATCATGTATATTCCTCTATCTAAGTACCACGATTATCAGAAGATTATCAGAACGCTATTATCTATTATATATGCTTGAGAACATCTCTCCACCTTACTTGATGAGGCTGGCTAGACCTACTAATACCTAAAGTATTTATGGGGTCTTGACGAGGATCCTTGACTGAGCAGAACGAGCTATGAGTTGAGATAACTATGTTGTAAGGCTGACTTCTAAACGATAGAAGACACAGAGGTTTCTTGCGTAAGGTTGACTTGACAGAGGAGGCAGGGGATTAGACACAAAGGCTTTCCAAGTAACATGTTACAGTATTGTAAAGAATACTATATTGAGTTGAGCACGAAGTTCCTATCTAAGGAAATACTATCTACTTATATAGTGGCGTCGTGCCAAAGGGATATCCGTGGATAACATGGATAACATAATATCCATGATATCCAATGTTATCCATCACCTGATATTCCGTGGATCCCCGTGGATAACATGGATAACATAATATCCATGATATCCAATGTTATCCATCACCTGATATTCCGTGGATCCCCGTGGATAACATGGATAACATAATATCCATGATATCCAATGTTATCCATCACATGAGGTTGCAGCCGTAAGCGCTAGCCATAGCACTCGCACTTAGCTGTAACAAAGAATGCATAGATTGGAGAGTAACCAAGGAAGGTGGTTCTAAGGTCGTGGTTATTTTAAAGTTGCAAACAAAAATATTCGTGAAGGAATATTCACCTACAAAGAATTACTATTTTAAAAACAACACTATGACGCGCACCTTTATATAAAACACATACCTTTCAACCTCTACCTCTTTTCTATACTATTCTTCTGTAATATTCTTCCTATAAACTCACTGTAAGTACACATATCTTTTGATCCACTTCTTTGTCTTGTGTTTACTTCACTAACTCACCTTGATATTAGCAAATGGCTCGTACTAAGCAAACTGCTAGGAGATCAACTAGCAGCATAGCACCAAGGATGCCACTTAGATTACAGGCTGGCTCTAGGCTTGGTGGAAAGGGAAAGGAAAAGGCTGTAGGCACAGTAAGAAAAGCTCTAGTTCGCTCATCTCAAGCTAGTAACAATCATGCTTAGAAGGCCACGCGCTACGTAACGTCTAGTAAGAGGATTACTAGAGAATTACCAGAACTCTCTAATAAACATATAGGCACTAAGGCTCTCCGCGATATCAGAAGATAGCAACTCGATACTCGCCTAATTATCCCAAAGCTCCCATTCTAGCGTCTTGTTAGGGAAATCGCAGAAGACTTCAAGTCTAATCTTCGCTTCTAGCAATCTGATATTCTAGCTCTTTAGGAAGCTGCTGAATGCTTCCTCATTCGAGAATTTGAGAGTATGATGTTTACATAGTGACAGGGACATACTAACAGTTATAGTGACAAACCTCCTTGCTATTCATGTGAAGAGAGTGACAATTCAGGCAAAGGATATGATATTGGCGTTTGCAGGATATGATGTTTAATCATGGAGCTGTAGGCTTAATCGATAGAAATGTCTGATTTTAGAACACTATATCGAGGATTTTGATACTGTATATCCTTCTTATATAGCTTATGATTAATGAGCTCAAACTCAAATTATGCAGGGTGCTTAAGGTTCATAGACTCTTGGTCTGTTGGTTTGAAGGCTGTTGGTTTGAAGGCTGTTAGTTTGAAGGCTGTTGGTTTGAAGGCTGTTGGTTTGAAGGCTGTTGGTTTGAAGGCTGTTGGTTTGAAGGCTGTTGGTTTGAAGGCTGTTAGTTTGAAGGCTGTTGGTTTGAAGGCTGTTGGTTTGAAGGCTGTTAGTTTGAAGGCTGTTAGTTTGAAGGCTGTTGGTTTGAAGGCTGTTGGTTTGAAGGCTGTTGGATTCAGTAGTATTGTACGTATATTGTCCCATTTGTTATATGAGAGTTGCTCTCGATTGGAGTAAGTAGGGCTGCTTATATAGGCTTTGAAAGCAGTGCATACGTTGTTTGGAAACGGGTTAATCGAATCAATAGTAGACATAACTATAGTTGTAGAATATAGGAAGATTTGAATTTTCTACGATACCATCTACATGGCCACTTGGCGGTTGGGCCGGCCCGTTCGTAAAGTGAGGCCGGAACATAATCGTCGGTGTTCGCACTGACCACCCTACAGGTGGTCGGCGAAAGCGAGTTAAAGCCTGAAAGCGAGTTGAAGCCTACCAGATATCATAACTATGTAGAATCTAATACAACCACTATCTAAACAACTATACCAGCAATTGAGTGATTGAATCATATGATAAAATTAAAGCTATTCCGAATTTAAAACAACCCTGGGTCTAAATTTTCGTCCTCCCTGTCCGCAAATAGGTCTGTATCCAATCCACTGAATCTTATAAATCCTGTCTCGTCATCGTCGTCAGCCTGTGATTCGTACCCCATCGTTGAAATTAATTGAGTATTGGCTTCTTCTTGAAGCTCTGATTCCTGCGCAATTTTTTCTGGATCTGGAATTGGAATAAGTAAATCAGAAGGCACCTTCTCCTTCGCCTTTAACATCTGGCTAACTTGCCGCTTTCTTGAAAGCTCTGCTTTACGGGCCTCAACTCCACGAATATGAAGCTCCTTTTTGACTTTATTAAGCACTACTCGTGCTTTGTATTTCGCCCTTCGCTCTTGAATTTCCTTGTCTTTTCTAGCCTTGTCATTAATCTTTTTCCATGCATCCTTAGCAGTTAATGGACCAGTATTTGCTTGAGCGACAGAGCGGCTTTTGAGCTTCGCCTTCTGTTGATTAGCTACTTTTGTAGATAATAAATCATACTGTAGAATAGCCAGTTCTCCTTGAACAAGTACATTTTCTGTACCACGTGCCCAAGAATCCCATTCTCGTGCTGAAGGACTAGACAAAAGACATGGTATTTTACTTTGCCAGTGCCGTAATTTGAGCTCAGAATGCACAAATTTTGTTGGAGTCTGTGGAATTTGTGGAGGATCAAGAGTGCGCTCACAAATCGTATAAACTTTCATTTTCTTGAGAGCTTCTTTAGAATTGATTGGCCACATTCCAGCTTCACGAAACGACCTAATGATTGTTCCTTTCTTGAACGTCTGCTGGCGGATTTCGTTCAAATCCCGAAAGAATGAAGCTATATTATAATCAATATCAAGATTACGCATAGCATATTGAATTGCCTTCTTGTGCCAGTGTTTATAAGGTTGAAAAACACCAACATCAAGTGGCTGCATAATGTGCGTAAGATGCGAAGGAAGCGGATATGGATGGATATTCATTGAAGTTGCCCGTATAACGAACTCTGGTGTTGTATGACTGATATGGCTGTCCATAAGGAGGACCTTTAGAGGTTTATCAGGCCCAGCTCCTGTATGAATGATAAAATGCTCCAAATATAGCATTGCGAGCTCGCTATTGGTATATCCTGAGTCTGCAAGTAATACAAGCTCATCGCCAGTCAATTTCTCATTATACCAAGTGCCATATGTTGTCGTCCTTGTACAATGATAATTGGTGGAAGCACTTGTCCAACAGCACAGATTGACTCAATCACGGTAATAGATTTGCAGTTTTCGGCCATTGGAACATACATCTTTAATAGTGTCAGTTTAATTGTATTAAGTTACAAGTACTGAATTATACATACTTCTGTAATAGATACAGGAACTATTACATCCTCCCCTGGTGCTACTCCAACACGAAAACCAGTCTCGTCAAAGTTATAAATATCCTGTGGCTGGATATTGTGTTGAGTACACCATGCCAAATACACTCCAAACCAGTCTTGTACCGCAGAAATATCATGGGTCGTAACTCGGACTCGTGCAATTGGCTTCGTTTTGACAACTCGAAAGAGGATCGAAGAGCTCTTTATAAAGCTCTGAAACCAGCGCCATGAAGGTGCTGGTTTAGGCGGTATTTCCGCTGCCCGCAAGTGGCCAATTGCTGTAAAAACCATCGCTTTTGACGCCCCATAGCCCGCAAAATATGAATCCTCTACATATTTGTATATAGCCTTGATTTGTGCCTCTGAAAGTATCTTATTCTGGCCTCCGTAAATAGGGTTTGGTGCCTGGGCTTTGAGTTTCGCTCGTCGGAGGTTCGTATTGAGGGTCTTCGCATTTATATTGAATATTCGTGCAGCGGTTATAGGCTTTTCTGAAGGGTTGTCCAGTGTGCGGCACAGATACCTGATTACCTGTGGTGTTCAGGTAATTACCTGGGTAATTACCTACCTGGGCTCATTCTCAAAATACCTGAGTATCCCGGTATTTTCAGATACTTACCCAGATACATGCCAAGTATTGCCAAGTGTAGCCAAGCCGCACAAATGCTAACGTTGAAATACTCGTCTTCATGCTTGATATGGTGATAATTGCCGTGAAAATGAGTGACTCTCCGTTGTCAGACGTGCCGACGGACCTTGATGGCTATAATCCTCACGATGAGCCAGCCCTACCAGGGCTTTTTACCCCTTTTCAGCAATCAAATCCAATTCCTGTCCGTCTACACCCGCCTAGCCAAATGCTACCGCCAACGCAGTCGCTGCTGTTCACGAAGGAACTATATTCAAGAATACTACTTGAGAGCAACCCGCCAACTATCAAAGTATGCTGTATGCAGCCTAATTGCGGATACTCGCCCGCAGCTCAAACCCATGCTCAAGCTGCTGCTTCAACTGGCAATCTTTGGAAACACTATAGTCTTAAGCATAAAGGAATCTATGATGCTCTTAAACACAAGAATACAGCGCCTTCAAGTCAATCTAGCAGCACATCATCATTTTTTGAGCCTCAGAGACCAGCGACCCATGAATCAAGACCAACAAACAATCCAGCCAAATATAGAGAGTTAGTGCTATCGTTTATAGTATCTAATAACCTGTCTTTACGCATTATCGAAAGCTATTCATATCGTCAATTAGTACGGTTCTTAAGTCCATCTGTGTTATCACTTTCGTCAAGAACATTGCACCGAGAACTACAACGCCAATTCTCATATCACCGAGGCATACTACAGCTTGAACTCCATTCTCATATTATACATGGAGGCCGGATATCCATAACGACAGATGCATGGTCTGCACGGAACTATACAGAGTATGCTGCTGTTACCGCTCATTGGATTAATGATAAATGGCAGCAGAAATCAAAATTGCTTGATGTGATACATCTTCAAGAGCCTATTCATAGCGGTGAATACTTAGCTCAGCAATTAGCAGCTGTAACAGATAGTATAGCTATTACAGGCGCTATCTTTACATGCACCCGAGACAACGCATCATCAAATACTGTGATGCTCTCAGAATATGAGAAATTGGCTAGCAACGCCCAAACATCAACTCAACAACCTTGGACATTTACTGTCAAAGAAGGCGATGTCCGGTGTATTGCACATATCATAAATCTCGCAGTTCAAGCCGCTCTTACGAGTTTAAAAGCAGAACCAGATGTAGAGACAGAGACATACCGGTGTGAGCAAGGTGCAGCTCGGATTCCATTTAGTAGAGATAGTCATGTGGAAGTCATGAATGCTCTTGCAAAGCTACGAAGACATATCTATGTCTTTCGTAATCGACGAGCATGGAAGGATGCTTTACAACGACAAGTCAAAGCTATAGGTTTAAAACCACAGCAACTATCACTTGATATGCCAGTACGATGGAATTCAACACATTGTATGCTTGATACAGCATTAAAACTCCAAATACCAATCACAGCAGTATGCATAACACAACAGCTTGATATTAGTATGAAAGATATTGCATTAACTACAGGAGATTGGGCTGTTATTAAAGATCTTGAACGACTGTTCTTAATATTTCTCAAACCATCAAGACGGCTACAAAGTGATACATATCCGTCACTTAACTTTGCTATTCCACTTTATCTTAAAATGATAAATAAAGTTAAGAAGATGCAACAAGAAGTTGGCGAGCACTCAGCAATTGGTATTGCATGCACAGTAGCTTATCAAAAGCTTCACGCGTATTATACTCTTGCAACAAATCAGCAATGTAAGCACTCAGCTGTAGCTACAATTTGCGATCCACGGATGAACCATACAGTGTTTAAAAAGATATATCCAGATAGTACAGATCATGTACGAATCACACGAGCAAGAGCACAGTTTGAAGATGTTTGTAGAACATATAAGACACGGCAATATCATCTTGATACAGAGCGTATTGAACGTGAAACAGCTCTTGCAGATGCATTAGGAAATGCAAATACTAGAGTGCAAGAACCAGATTCTGATGAAGATTTATTTGCATCAGAGGGTATATCATTTGAAGAACCAGAATGGAAACGATGGATGCTTGAACCACGGCCTGGTGAGCATACTGATATTCTCAAATATTAGTCTGCAAAGCAATATCAATATCCAATAATTGCTCAAGTTGCTCGAGACCATCTTGCAATTCCTGCGACATCAGCACCATCAGAACGGGTATTTAGCAATGGTAGCGATATCATTACTAAGAAAAGGAATAGATTGTCGCCATCGACAATTAGATATCTGCTTTGCTTACGGAATTGGGGTTATTTACCAGATGCCGACAGCGACGGTGATGATGCAGATGATGAGGCAGAAGAATAGGAATAGGGGCTGTCTATTTTATTATTATATTTGTCACGAGTTTCACTTTTCTAGTTACATATTCTAGTTACATATCATTATCTATTTCAAATATCAAAAGCGTCATTTTTGTATACGGAATTGAGGCTCAACTACCTGCTAAAGTATCTGTAAATACCTACCTTACCTGAGCAAAGTCGCTCAGATACTTACCTTACCTGGCGAGGACCCAGATACTACCTGGGTAGTATCTGCCGAACACTGGGGTTGTCGCGGAGGAATTGGAGGGCATCATCCATTGTATTAGATTTCAAGTACGACGACGAAGCAGTTTTGTCACAAGTGTATAGATGAAAGGGGAATATAATTTGTGTGTAAATCTCTTCTTCGGCTATGTACAAGACCCCTGGCGGGCTTCATCTCGCTTTCGGGCTTCAACTCGCTTTCGCCGACCACCTGTAGGGTGGTCGGTGCGAACACCGACGATTATAGGACGGTTTCTTGATATTCCGCCGCGCTGTCGTATGCATCAACAACGCTTTCCTCTCCATCCCACCACAAATCCCGGTATCACTAACGCCTCATTCTCCCAGCTCCCAATATCGAGCACAATATGCACTTCCTACTCTAACTCCAGAAGCAAAAGCGGAGCACAGAATAGGAAGAGGAAGTAAGCACTACTGTACCCCATGCCCTCCCCTAAACGAACAGCGGCTAAATCATCCAGCCCAAATATACTACTGATCATCACTACTCTCGCCCGTCTCCTGACCTCTTCCTCCTCCCATATTGGCAAAACCATATAAACCCGTCGGGCGCGCTGTAGTTGCTGAGCCCCATCAACGCCGATGGGTGGCTAAGGGAACTGTCCTGCTTCATCTACAGTGCTTAATATTACGGCTTCCGGTGCCGGGGCACTTCGTATAGGTCGTTGTGATACAGTACTACGGTTGCTAGTTGCATTACTAATGTTGCTGTTCGTATGGTCAGCTTGGTTGCGCTACCGTGTTCACCACCTCGCTCACAGCTAACCAACCATGATACTGCCCTGGGAGCTCGGCATGCAAATACCCATATTAGAGTCCCCAGTATCCTTCGGGGAACTGGTAGGATGAAAGGGCCACTTCTCTTTCCTTTCTCCCCTCATTATTTGTCGCTGAGGTTTTCTTTTCCTCTCTTTAAACTTGATTCTGTTTCTTCTTAGTCTGTTGCGGGAGGAGTTGACGGTTCTGCAGTGAGATCCGGATTACCTTCATCAGTCTACGTTTAGTCGGTGGGTAGAGGCACACGAGCTGCTACTGTTGCTAGAAGATGCGTGGCACAGTAATTGTCGAGGTAGTGGCTGCTGCGACTCTCGTTGGTATCGGGACGGCGCAGGAGACGACGTCGCTTTTCTTGCCAACTTCGCGCCTATAAATCCATTGCTAGCATCGGTCGTAGACACTGTGAGTGTTGTTTCTATCATTTCCTTCTCTCCTGACCTGACTAACACCCACAGGACCACACCGCAACAGCATACTCTGTCGCTTGCCCCATCTACGAGCCTACTGTCCCCAATGGCTGCCGTGTCCCAATTCCGTTCTACCTTACCTCGTGGCCAACATTCATGCGCGCCACAATGTCGTTGCCGTCTACGCATTCACCCTTCTTCGTTCCTTCCCTCCTTCACTCCTTCCCCCATTCCCTCCTTCCCTCTTTTCCCTTTTTGCTCTTTCTCTCCTTCGCTCCTTCCCCCATTCCCTCCTTCGCTCCTTCCACCATTCTCTCGTTCGCTCTTTCCCTCCTTTGCTCCTTCCCCCCTTCTTCTTCCCTCCTTCGCTCCTTCCCTCCTCCCCCAAATCCCACACCCCCCCTCAACTCTCCAACCCACTAACCCCCACCCCCCCACACATCCGAAATCCGCACCCACACCACAACCCGCCTCTCCACCCCCCTCGCAAGCGAATACCTCTACCTCCTCCACCAAAGACGCATACTGCCACCTCCTCCCCACCTCCACCGCCACTGGTGGCGCGCTTACCGTGCCTATCTCCACGAATCGGAGGACGCTGGTGGGGGAAAAAGGGGGGGTTGTTACGGATGTTATGCCGAGGATTTATGCTACCGTGGAGTCGGTGGAAGGGGGGGGGAGAGGAGACGGTCTGGACGAAGTCGGTTGTTGCAGTAGTGAGATTCCGCAGACGTGGGATGTGGTGGGAGAGAAGTCGGAAGCAGTGAAGACGCCCGCAAGAACAGTGGGAGGTGTGGTGCCGGAGGGGACGGGTGAAGGCTGAGGAGGAGGAGGAATGACGATGAGTACGACTTCTATGCCGGGTTCAGAAATAGCTACTTCTGCTCCTGTAGAGGGTTTATGAGGCCTGCCTAGAGAAAAGCATGGTGAGAAGAGTAAGGGAAATAACGTAAAATAAACACACCACAAATTCGAAAACTCCACGAATAAAGGCTGGATGCGGTTGAATACTTCCATTCTTGATTCCTATACCGACTCTTCCTCAGCTCCGAACCCCCTTTCTCTCTAAACTCAATCCATAATTCCTTCCCCCCATCTATCATATAACCCGAAGAACATGTCGGTACCATCACAATACCCAACCTACCAAGTCTCCTGCAAATACCTCCCCTCCCTCTCCAACCACTTCACCCCCGCCTCCGCCTTCTCCCTATCCCCCCCAAACCCCTCCGCAAACACATCCACAATCGCCGCCCTGACCGCCATCGGCATCTTCCCGGAGCTCCCACACACAATCACCGTCCCATCCCCCATCCAGTTGGGATCAACCCCCCTCTCCGCATCATGCAGATTCCCCCCCTTGCCTCCCACGGCCTCACCAGCTCCCACGGCCTCAGCATCTTCCACACCATCTGCGCCTCGCGGCGGATGACATCCTGCACGTACACCTTCTCGCGCTGATCCCTGCTCCACGCCACCAAAACATCGATCCCGAGCTTGTGATCCCGCCACTCGTGCTCGTACAGGAAATCGCCGTTGCGGTTGCGCCCGCCAAAGATCAGCACCGTCTTGGCGCGCGGAGCTCCCTCGAAGGTGTTCTCGCTGCCGCACTCGATGCCGCGTAGCTCGTCCTCCTGGTTGAGGACCAGGGAGCGCTCCCAGATTAGGCTGCGCATGGGGGCGACGCCGGTGCCGGGGGCGATCATCAGGAGCGGGCGGTGGAAGAGGGGTGAGTCCTGGGCGCTGATGCTGAGGGAGCCGTCGGAGAGGGTGACGGCGAGGGGGGTGCCGGGTTGGAGGGACGTGATGTAGCGAGAGCAGACGCCCTGGCGGATTTTGCGGAGGACGGTGCGGTAGCGGACGAGGGCGATGGTGAGGTGGAAGATGGTGGTTTCTTTACCGTTGGGCTGGCGCAGGACGCCGCCGGAGGAGATGGAGAATTGACGGCCGCGTAGGCGGGGGAAGAGGGCCAGGGCGTTCCGGAAGGGGAGTTTGACGGTGGGGAAGTCCTGGAGGATTTCGAGGATGGAACGGCGGGGGCGGGTGGTGTAGTCGAAGTACTCGTCTGTGTAGGCTGGGTTGGAGAATTCTTGGAGTTTGGTCTTGTGGGTTTCGTCGCCCGTGAAGTGGGCGCAGGCGCCGAGGAAGGAGCGGCGTGGGATGGCTGTTATGTCGAGGTTGTGGGTGAGGAGGTCACGGAGGGTGGGAGGGCGACCGACGGGGAAGTGGAGGTCTAGAATAGCGGCTGTAAAAGGAGGGGAGGTGGGATGGGCAGCGCTATCGATGACTTGGAGGGGTTTGTCGGCAATGGAAGTCCAGCCCTGAAGGGCGATGAGGGAGTTGACATCGGCGGGGAAGTTCTTGGGGTAGAGGGTTAGGACGTCGCCGGGTTCGTAGCGGATGCTGCCTTCCATCTCAAGCGCGATGTGGCGCACATCTTGGAAATGGTCCTCGGCTGTGATGCGGATGTTTTTCTTGAGCGTCAGGACTTTGTGGCCGGGGATCTGGATGATGTCCTGGGAAGGCGGTGTCTCATCCGTGATAAGGTCGGCTTCATCGAAGCCCTCTTTGAGGCAGGGGTCATTGGTGCCTTCGTTCATCTTTGGAGATGTTTCGTTTTGTGTTGGAGTATCGGAATCGATCTCAGGATTCACGATCTGGAGAATATACTTTGGTGGTAGAAACTCTTCGTCTGGAATAGGCTCTATCCCGTCAGGAAGCGGATAGTTCTCCACGAGATGCCTCTTCAACCCTAGAGACCAAGGTATAAGCGCACCGTCCGTCCTGTGTGGTGTCAGAAGTGTGTTCTCCTTCAAGAGTGAAGTATTCAGGAGTTGGTAGTTGAAAGATCAGCAGATTAATTGGGGTTAAGGGTCCCCAGAAGCTGCTAGAACAAAACGTCTTTTTCACTCACCCTTCGTCGTGCTGGTCGTCTCCCTCTCCTCTGGCATAAAACTCCTTGGCTCCTAACTGCTGCAGCCGCCTATGCAGTTTTCTCGCAGCCCAGTTGAACCTTCCCGGTGTTAGCAATCGAACAATAGGGGATAAACACCACATTCGCTCCTGGACAAACAAACAAGACCGCCACAACAACCACCACAACAAAGAAGAGAGTAAAACAAACAGAAAGACAGCAGACTCACTTCGCATACGATCGATCCCCAAACCCAAACGTCGTAAAATCCACGTGACGCAGGTACCCAGCCGGGATACTCTTCCTCAGCAGCGACTTCCACAGCCTCCTCCCGTTGGCGGGGAAATCGCCCTGCCCCGTCGTCGAGACCGCGAAGACGACAATCGTATATTTGCGGAGTTCGTTCTACAAAATTAAGTTAATACCTCTAGGTCATGGTTACAGGGGGGAATTGGCTGGATAGATAGCACGGAAGTGACCGGAGAGGGAGAGGGGGGTGGAGGGGGGGGGGTTGGAGGGGGGTTGGAGGCAGCAAGAGCGGCCGATGGGTGAGGGGATAGTAATTGGGAGACATACGACATTAACCCCCTCGCCATCCATAGCCGCCACCCGCGTTGTGAACCGGAGACGTTGGGCTATACGGCCAAGTAGATATGCGGCATCTTCGCTAGTGCCGGTCTCGGAGGCGTACAGGATTAAGGCGCTGCGGTCGTGGCGCGTCGGGGGGAAGGGGATGGGGATTGGGATGGGAACGGGGGCCGTGGTGGCCATGGTGATGGTGGCGTGTGCTGTTGTAGTTGTAGTTGTGTTGTGGCGGGGGAAGATGCGACGGCGGCGGTACCTGCATTAGGGCCAGTAGGGAAGGGGATGTCACGGGATCGGGGGTTGGGTCTGGATTTTGCAATGGCATGATGGAGTTATATTTTTCGTGGTCTGTGGTCTTGTTGGTGGTCTTGTTGTTGGTCTTGTTGTTGGTCTTGTTGTTGGTCTCGTTGTTGGTGGCGACATGATATATTTCCTGCGGCGGAGTCGTGATATTAGACGCAATCAAATCGAATTAATTTACGGCGTTTGCTCTACGGAACTGTGTGTGTTTGCGCGACGCATGCTGGTGGCAAATCTCCTTGGATGTTATTTCTTTGCGGTCGGCGGTCGTCGGTCTGCTTGGGGATGGGAGTACATGGTTTTAGGGGGAGCTGGAATGGGGAAAGGGATATATATTTGGAGATAAATGGCACTATGTTATAGGGTATGTGATATGTTATATGTTATATTGTTATAGACAGTATGGGATAGTTAGTATGTAGAATGTTTAGACAGTATGGGATAGTTAGTATGTAGAATGTATAGACAGTATGGGATAGGATAGATGTAAAATGTTTAGACACTAAGTTATGGGGTAGGATAGATGTAAAATGTTTAGACACTACTCGGTGTTCCACCCACTCGCTTCGCTCGTAGGTGGCGACAGCAAGTTGTGCGTGCGACAGCAAGATGTGCGTACACCGCTATTTTGATATATAGAAAAAATAATAGTATTCTTCATAACGTAGTATCTACAATGCCTCAAAATAACGATCCTACTATGATTGCTCGCCTTAATGAGGCCCAACAGTTCTTCTTAAAACAACCAAGTACATATACAATTGCTTGGGTTGCAAATAAATTCAATGTCAACCGTGAGACACTCCGACGTCGTATTACGAGTACTACGTCTCCTCAATTACCCCACGGAGGTAGCAATCGAGTCTTATCTCAATCGCAAGAGACCGCGGTCTGTCAATTCATATACGACCAACTTGAGCGCGGGGTCCCTGCCAACCGATCTATGATACTACGGGCAGTTGCAGACTTACGACCTAATCGTACGATACCATCACAACGGTGGCTACAACGCTTTCTAAAAGCACACCCCGAATTTCATACAATTCACACGAAGACGTTAAATACACATCGGAAGCAAGCACAAAAGAAAGAGGTGTTTGAGGAATTCTTTCTCACATATAACGCCCTTATTACAAAACATAACATTAAGCCATATAATTTATGGAATGTTGATGAGACAGGCTATATGATTGGGTGTTATAAGTCTACGGCTGTTATTGTACCAATCGGTGTAAAGCAGTGGACTGTTGATAATCCTGAGAATCGGCTCTCTGTTACTGTAATTGAGGCAGTAAATGCAAGTGGTGCTGCACTTGCAGAAGCTATCATTATCCCTGGCAAACTTCATATGGATTCATGGTACAATGATGACCTTGAGCCAAATGCTCTCATTATTGTAAATGAGAGCGGGTATTCAAACGACGACATTGCAATCCAATACCTTATGCATTTTATCCAACTATCTGCAGAGCATATGGCACCAGATGATACTCGCCTCTTATTACTTGACGGCCATGACTCTCATAAAACAGAGCGCTTTCTTACATTAGCAGAAGAGCATAACATTGTTATTTGCTGCCTTCCTGCTCATACAACACATCTATTACAACCTCTTGATGTAGCGGTTTTTAAGCAGTGCAAACACTTTCATCAAAAGGCACTTGATCAAGCAGTACGTAGCTACGACTATGAGTATAAGCTACGTACGTTCCTTTCAGACCTCCCGCAAATCTGACGGCAATCTCTAACTGTCCGTACAATTCAATCTGGTTGGAGAAATACAGGACTATATCCATATAATCCTCCACTTGTAATTGACAAGATACAAGAGACTCGGAATCAAACACCTGATTATGAGCCATTTGCTTCATATAATATTATCTCAACACCGAAAACAACTATGCAAAGTGTGCAAGCGGTTGAACATTGGCAGAAGAGAGCAGAGGAAGCTTTCTCATCGCCTTCAAGAGAAGGGTTTCAATCATTTGCACGTGGAACTACAGTTGTTCTACACCGGGCAGAGCTCTATAAGACCGAGCTAGATATTATGACTCTACGTGCAGTAGAGCAGAAGGCAGCAAAGGCAAGGGCACGGAAATCACTACAGAAAGGAGGGCAGTTATATGCATCAGATGCACGGAAAATGCGGGAAGAGAAGAAAGCAAAGTTGCAAGCAAAAGCAGACGCAAGAGCAGCAAGGGAATCGGACCAAGTAGTAAAGCAGCTACAAGCGCAAGCACGTAAAATCGAAATTGAAGAGCGTAAGGTTGAGAGGAAGCGGGTAGCAGAGCGGAAGAAGGAAGGGTTGAAATCAAAAGTGATCATTTTACGGTATAGTAAGGATCAAAGTGATAGTAGCAATAGTGGCAGTAGCGATAGTGATAGTAGTTCTATTGATTTTATGTTTTAATTATATAGTTATATAGTTGATATATAAGGCGTCTTTTTCATCGTTTTATGTGTCGCACATCTTGCTGTCGCACGCACAACTTGCTGTCGCCACCTACGAGCGAAGCGAGTGGGTGGAACACCGAGTATGGGCTAGGATAGATGTAAAATGTTTAGACACTATGGGCTAGGATAGATGTAAAATGTTTTAGACAGTACAGCATAGTATAGTTAGTATGTTATACTATTCTGTCCTGTCTAAATGGGATAGAGTATAGTATAATTAGTATGTAAAATGTTTAGACACTATGGGATAGGATGGGATAGGATAGATGAAAATGTTTAGATAGTATGGGATGGGATAGGATAGATGTAAAATATTTAACGTGGTTTACCACCAAACGGAACATCCCACCAAATGAAACACTTTCCGATAGCATCGCAACCTCAAACCCAATTACTCCACCACACCACAACAAAAAGATGCCTCAGAAAGCTAATGAAGGCTGAGTTTTACTAGCCATTCAAGCTACCAAATCACCCCACAAACTGTCCATCCGACGTGCTGCGCAGCTATATGAGGTCCCACATGTAACACTTACCCGTCGCATACACGGAAGCCAACCACGAGCTGGTAGATGCGACAAACAACGTCCATTGACCCCAATTGAGGAAGAGGAGCTCATACGATACGTACTTGACCTAGATTCGCGAGGATTTCCACCTCGAATTGAGGATGTACGAGATATAGCGAATCTCCTCCGTGCGACGCGTCGCGAACCCCCAGTTGGAAAAAACTGGCCCTACCGCTTTGTACACAATGAACCAAAGCTTAAGACGCGTCTCTCTCATGCGTACGACCTCCAGCTAGCCCTCTGCGAAGATCCTGATTGTATAAGAAAGTGGTTTGAGCTGGTAAAGAACATGCAGGCGAAGTACAGCATCCAGGATGCTGACTTCTACAACTTTGATGAGACGGGCTTTATGATGGGTGTTATCTGTGGGAATATGGTTGTTACGAGCTCAGATCGAAAAGGCCAAGCAAAGCAGCTTCAGTCTGGTAATCGGGAATGGGCAACAGCGATTGAATGTGTGAGTGCAGACGGCTTTGTAGTGCCTGCATACTTGATTGTACAAGGCAAGCATCACCTTGCGCCTTGGTACACAGAGTGCGGCCTTCCACCTACTTGGGCCATCAAGACCTCACCAAATGGCTGGACCGACAATGATACAGGTCTAGACTGGATAAAACACTTTAATCAGCATACACGTGTACGAACACAAGGGGTCTGGCGGATGATTGTCCTAGATGGCCATGAGAGCCACCTATCTGCCCAGTTTGATATGTACTGCAAGGAGAACAACATTATTACGCTCTGTCTCCCTGCGCACTCCTCACATCTTACCCAGCCTCTTGATGTTGGGTGTTTTAGTGTACTAAAGCGAATGTATGGTCGAGAACTTGAGGTCTTCATTAAGGCCTCTATTACCCATATCACTAAGATTGAGTTCTTTATTGCATTCAAGGCTGCCCACGACCATACAATGACAACTGAAAATATCCTAGCTGGCTTTCGAGGTACTGGCCTAGTCCCGTACAACCCAGAAGCAGTTCTCTCAAAGCTTGATATCAAGTTACGGACGCCAACACCAACTGGATCCCCCCTACTAGAGGCTGACCCTTGGGTCCCTCAAACGCCACAAACCCCAGCTGATGCAATTTTGCAGTCTAAGTTTGTACAGAATAGAATTGGAATTCATCAAGGAAGCTCCCCAACAACGATTTTTTCAGCTGTAAAGCAGCTGGTGAAGGGTACAGACCGCATTGCGCACCAAATGACCCTTATACAAGAGGAGGTCCGTACCCTTCGAAAGGCCAACACAGCACTTTCAAAGCGTCGGAAAGCCAAGCGTACACGTGTCCAAGATGGAGGGTCACTTACTATAGAAGATGCTCAAAAACTGATCGCTGAAAAAGAGGATAAAGGGTTGAAACGACAGAAAAGGTCAAATGAGGAGGGTGCTGTAGAGGCTGGTCCATCGACTTCGCGGCGCTGTGGGAGGTGCGGCAAGACTGGGCATAATGTACGAACCTGTCAAGAGGTTGAAGAGATATTAGGAGAAGAGAATTCAATTGAGTGTAGTTAATTTTAATGTGTTAGGGTGGAGTAATTGGGTTTGAGGTTGCGATGCTATCGGAAAGTGTTTCATTTGGTGGGATGTTCCGTTTGGTGGTAAACCACGTTATAGGATAACTTAGATGTAAATATTTATACACTATGGGATAGAGGATTGTTTGCCACTACACACCGCCTTCCCTAAACTGCCGCATTTTGCCCTTATCCAGCAAGCGCAATCACCATTTTAATCCCAATGTCGCTTAATCTCGTCCATTTACGGTAATTACCCATTTTATCATTTTATCTCCCTCCCACACCCACAGTAAACAAAAGGCACCCCAAGCTAGCACCTTCTGGGCCCAATAATAATAATAATAATCGTCCCCCTACTCTACTTCTTCGCCTCTCCTTCTCCCTCTGCCTCTCCTCTCCCTCTCCCTCTCCCTCTCCCATCAACTTCAATCCATCAAAGACAATTCAACTCCCAAAAACTCCTCCAACTCCCCTTCCACATCCTCCTTCTAGGGCTCCAAGCTACCCTTCAAGCCATCCCTCCCTCGCATAAATCCTTGTTCAAGAAGTCAAATCTCTCCTCTCGAACAACAGACAACGTCGACAATCCCCAACCTCATTTCAATTCAACTCAGTTATCTCCCCAACCAACATCCTTCATCAACTCGATCATTCACCATGTCTGCCATCGCTGAGAAGATTACTGACGCCGTCAACGACGTTACTGCCAAGCTTGGCAACGCAACCATCGCCGCCGACGCTGACAAGACCACTGCCGCCGCTCACAACGATGCAGTTCTGGCCAGCGCCGCTGAGGGACGGAGACTTTACATCGGCAACCTCGCCTACGCGACCACCGAGCAGGAGTTGACCGACTTCTTCAAGGGATACCTTGTGTAAGTTCGCCTCCGTCTTTTCCCTTGCCCTTCTTGTCACGGTGGCGCATCGCCCAGTTGTGGAAGGTACCACCCACCATGTCTCGTGACAATGTCAGATCGGCTCGGAACCGCCACCAATGCAGCTCCATGCGCTTCTGTTCACCCTTGCCAATACCGTTGGGGCGATCTAATTGCACCCACCATGATGGATACCATCGATGGCTACGTTTGGATAACAGCTGCTGACGCTTTTTCTGACAGTGAATCGACCTCCATCCCTAAGAACCCACGCACCGATCGCCCAGTCGGCTACGCTTTTGTCGACCTCTCTACACCCAGCGAGGCCGAGCGCGCCATCACTGAGCTTTCCGGCAAAGAGATCCTTGAGCGCAAGGTCTCCGTTCAGCTTGCCCGCAAGCCTGAGCCAGCCGGCGAGAAGACTGAGAATGCCGTGAGTGGAGGTGACGGTGCTGAGGGTACCGAGGGTGGCCGCCGCAGACAATCCGGACGCGGTCGTGGACGCGGCCGTGGCCGTGGTGGACGCACTGCCCGTGCTGGTGACCGCGTACGTCTCCCAATTCCAAATCCGCAATACACAACGCTAACAATGCCACAGGCCGAGGGCGAGGTTGCATCTGAAGAGGTTCTCCCTCTCCAGGACATCACCAACCAGGTTACCACTGATGAGGCTGCCAAGGACGACAAGAAGGCCGCTCGTGCTCCCCGTGAGCGCCGTGAGCGTGGCCCACCTGCCGATGGCATCCCATCCAAGAACAAGGTCATGGTTGCCAACCTTCCTTACGATCTGAGCGAGGATAAGGTTGGTTATTTCCCCCAATTCACCGCGAATAGTTCCCAATCTACTTCCGAAATGTTTGCTAATACATGTCTCGCACAGCTCAAGGAGCTCTTTACTGCCTACGAGCCATCCTCCGCCAAGATCGCTCTCCGCCCCATCCCCCGCTTCATGGTCAAGAAGCTCCAGGCCCGCAACGAGCCCCGCAAGGGCCGTGGCTTCGGCTTTGTCACTCTCTCCTCTGAGGAGCAGCAGCTCAAGGCCGTCTCTGAGATGAACGGCAAGGAGATTGAGGGTCGCGAGATCGCTGTCAAGGTTGCCATCGACAGCCCCGACAAGACCGATGAGGACGCCAACGCTCCCGTTACTGAGGAGACCAACGGCGCCGCCACCACTGTTGAGGAGACCACCACTGCTTAAGCGGTGACTGGTGTATTATACGAGACGTAATGATGGGGAGTGCTGCATCCGTTTTTTCGCCTGAGCATTGCTTTTATACATTGTTACTTCTCCAGGCGTATGGCGGAAGCACTGGGAAATGAAATGCTGGTAATGGCTCGTTAAAACTGTTTTTAATAACCGGGTACTAGCTATTTCACGATTTTAATGGGAGAGGAAAAATGATTTTATGGGAGGTCTTGGGAAACTGTCGATGGGCACTGTTAGATCTGGCGGCTTCTCTTGAGGCTTCGTTCTTCTAGAAGCGACGGCTATATCCTACAATTCCCATGGCTTGTACTTTTTGAGACGACAAACTACACAATATCTTTTTTTCCTCCATCATATGTCTCACTACGACCGTTTTTCTTTTAGCTGGGCCTGTACAATAGAGATTTCCTTTTTGTGCGGGTCTGGGGGGAAGAGGGGGGAAGTTGTGAAATGAAAAGTTGATTTTTGGGGATTCTGACTTGAGCAATATGAGTGAATGTTTGTCGTGATCCGATGATGATTGTGATATGATAGCCTTTGAAGATGTCAATATACTCCGGACGCCCAGTAAAAAGGAATTAAACCTGTGACGACGTGGTGAGCAACAAGGCCACGATCCAGGCTAGAGTAGCATCTAGGCTGTAACTATCCAAGGCCGACGAGGCCGAGACATCTCTGACCCCCCAGCCATCACGTTCCTAGGCCATACCGCCCGCACGAATTGGGTTTTTGGGCGCTGCACGGCAATCGCGCGCTAAAATATGCGAGCGCGAGCCACCCCACGCCCCAACCAACCCAGGTCTTTTTGACAGGGACGAAAAGCTACCGCGGCCGCTCGCCCCTCTCTCTCCTGTCTCCTATCTTTTGAACTACCAAACTGCCCAACTCCCCCCAGAAAGGAAAGGGATTTATACTGTTGTAACTTTTGTTGAGAACGGGGAAGTGTTTGGTAGGTAATAATTACGGCTACAGCGACGACGACGTCTACAGAGGGGCGATTTGACGGCTCGAAGGAGGCTTTTGTGTGTGGGGTTATTGGAAAGGGGGCCGATTACGGTGACGGGCGGCGTTTGCGGTGAGAGTACGAGGCGAGGACGCGGGAATAAGGGGGTGTAGACTGGTATCTCGAGAGGTAGGAATAGGCCTCGACTTTAAATACAATGGCGTCCAAGGCGATGTGGGAGGTTGATCCGGAGACACGATCAAAGGTACGCCCCTTCCCTTCCCCCCCCCCCCCCCCCAAAAGCCACCCGCTGAATCACATCTCCCCCCCACAGCTCCAGGAAATCGCCAAAACAAACAACAACTCCGTCTGCGCGGACTGCTCCGCGCCGTCCCCCCAATGGGCCTCCCCCAAATTCGGCATCTTCATCTGCCTCTCCTGCGCGGGCGTGCACCGCGGCCTCGGCGTGCACGTGTCCTTCGTGCGCTCGACCACCATGGACGCCTTCAAGGCCGCGGAGATCGAGCGCATGCGTCTCGGTGGCAATAAGCCCTGGCGCGACTTCTTCGAGGGGCATGAGGAGAATAAACTCGCTGGGGTGGGGTTTGAAGATGCGACTATTAAGGAGAGGTATGAGAGTGTGGTGGGGGAGGAGTGGAAGGGACGTCTGACTGCCAAGGTGGAGGGGAGGGAGTATGTGCCTGGGGCGCCGAAACCGGTAGTACCGAGACGGGAAACGAAGCCGGCGTCGCGAGCGACAACGCAGATTCAAGGCCGTGCATCGCCTGCTCCGTCTCTCGGCGATGGGGGTAGTGGACGCAGCTCCAAGGCTAAGGTCGATGATAGGTATTTCTCAAAGCTTGGGGAGGCGAATGCTGCGCGCCCCGCAGACGTGCATCCCAGCCAGGGAGGCAAGTATGGCGGGTTCGGATCGGAGATGCCGGCGCCTGCGAGGGGGGATGGGCCACCGGGCTTGGATGAGCTGCAGAGGGATCCGGTGGCGGCGCTGACGAAGGGGTTTGGGTGGTTTGGGGGGATGGTGGGGAAGACGGCTAGGCAGGTTAATGAGGGGTATATTGCGCCTGCTGCGCAAAGGGTGGGTTGGCATTTTAAATTTCCCCTGCTCTGCCCTTTTTTTTCTCTCATGTGGTGTGGTTCGGTCACTAACGCCTGTGCAGATCGCAGAAGCAGACCTCGCAGCCCAAGCCCGCCTCACCGCCGCCCAACTCGCCAAGTCCGCCCAAACCGGCGCCCAAGGCGCAAGCAGAACACTCAACGACTCGTTTAACCGCTTTGTGGAGGGTGAAGGCGCCGGGGGTGCGCGTGGTGGTGGAGGTGGGAGAGGGCCGTTGGATGAGTCGAAGAGGGATTTCTGGGATGGGTTTGGGAGGCCGGATGGGGGGGGCGGGGGGGGGACGATTGGGACGAATGCGTTGAGGGGGGGTGGGGGGGGGGCGTTAGGAGGGGGGAGGGGGAGGGGCTGATGGGGAAGAGGGGGGAGAAGAAGGAGGTGAGGAAGGAGGTGAAGGAGGTGGTGAGGAAGGAGGTGAAGGAGGAGGATGGGGATTGGGATAAATGGTGATAACTGGGATAGCTTGGGTAGATGATAATGCGAATTTTTACGTTGGTTGGGATATTCATTAGACGATGTGAAAGGGGGAGTGAGAGAGTAAATAATAACGAGCAGGGTTAGAAAATCAATTACAATCATGATTATTTAGTCGTAACGTACATGTATAACGAACCGGCCAAACAAGCGAACCGGCCAATCCATTTTATACCTTAAATCACGAATTTCATAACTTAATATCTCAACAACCCTTTAATAATAAGTTATAAAAATATGTACTTAGCCTTTTATAAGCATTTAAAGTACTCTATTTGATTTTTAAAGCAATTAGTATTGTAGTTATTAAGATATTGAGTTTTAGCCCCCACTTTTGACCTAATTCTTAGTATCTTAATAACTACAATACTAATTGCTTTAAAAATCAAATAGAGTACTTTAAATGCTTATAAAAGGCTAAGTACATATTTTTATAACTTATTATTAAAGGGTTGTTGAGATATTAAGTTATGAAATTCGTGATTTAAGGTGTAAAATGGATTGGCCGGTTCGCTTGTTTGGCCGGTTCGTTATACATGTACGTTAATCATAATCATGATTATTAATAAAGCGTATAACGTGGTTCGGACATATCAGTACCTCGGACACTTTTCCCGAATTTCCTACCCTCTAACTTCACAACGCGTTTTTTCCACCTTTTATTATGTCAGTGATTACCCAAGAAGCAAAAATCATTCTAGCTATCGAGGCTATCTGAACATCAAAAAATCTAAGTCGTCGGAAGGCTGCTAAGCTCTATGAAGTACCTCATTCTACACTCTACGACAGAATGAACGGCGGAACTACTGTCTACGAACGCTGGCCTGCAATGACAAAATTAACTATACTAGAAGAGGAGGTGGTTATTCGGAATATACTTGATATGGATTCAAGAGGATTTGCACCCCGGCTTGCTGGTGTAGAAGATATGGCAAATTTTATACTCAAATCGCGTGGAGGGAGGCGTGTCGGGAAGCTCTGGGCCCACCGATTTGTACAACGACGTCCAGAATTAAAGACGCGTTTTAATCGCGTTTACGACTTCCAAAGGGCCTTGTGCGAAGATCCTAATCTAATTGGCGCGTGGTTTCGACTAGTGGAAAATATGAGGGCAAAATACGGTGTTTTGGACTGCGACTTCTATAACTTCGACGAAACCGGGTTCATGATGGGTACGATTTGCCCTGCAATGGTTGTAACCCGTGCAGATCGACTTGGCAGAGGCAAGGCAGTTCAGCCGGGGAATCGGGAATGGGCTACTGCAATTGCTTGTATCAACAGTGAAGGCTGGAGTATTCCTCCATTTTTGGTAGTTAAAGGCAAGAATCATCTTGCAAATTGGTATACAGACGGCGGCCTTCCACACAACTGGGTAGTTAAACCAACAGGCAATGGATGGACGAATAATGAGACGGGACTTGAATGGTTGAAACACTTCGACAAACATACTGCTGTTTGTGCAAGGGGTCCATATCGAATGCTGGTGTTAGACGGGCACAAGAGTCATGAATCGGCCGAGTTCCAAGAGTACTGCAAGGCACACAACATTATAACTCTTGGACTACCTCCCCACTCGTCTCATTTAACTCAGCCACTTGATGTCGGGTGCTTTAGTGTGTTGAAGCGGGCATATGGTCGGCAGATTGAGACCTTCATTAAGGCTCATATCAACCACATTACCAAGGTCGAGTTCTTTCTCGCCTTTAGAGCAGCATATCTGGAATCCATGACAGCCCAAAACGCCCAGTCCGGGTTCCGCGGAGCTGGCTTAGTGCCTTTCGACCCGCAAGCAGTGCTTTCAAAGCTTGACGTGAGGTTACGGACTCCAACTCCCTCTAGACCCTCTACTGCCAACACCAACCCTTGGGTCTCCCAGACCCCTTCCAACCCAACTGAAGCTCTTTCACAAACAACCCTCGTTCGAAATCGAATTGCCCGTCACCAAGGAAGCTTGCCAACTCCACTCTTCGGGACAGTTATTGCATTGGCAAAGGGTACGGAGCGACTAGCACATGAGAACACCCTTCTGTCTGCTGAGGTACGTACCCTTCGAGCAGCCAACGAAGCCCTTAGCAAACGCCACAGGGCTAAAAAGGCTCATGTCCATGAAGGAGGTGCACTTATAGTAGAGGATGCACAGGCTATTATCGCACAGAAGGATGTGGATGAGCAGGTACGACGCGACGTACGTGCGGTTGGGGGTAGTCGCAAGGAGGGGCAACCGTCTAGGCGATGCTGTGGGATCTGTGGAAAAGCTGGTCATAATGCGCGAACTTGTCAAGAAGCTATAGATATGTCTAGTTCATCTGATTCCGCTTAGTTATAGTTAATTTAATATGTTATGGTTGATTTATTGATATTCAAAGTAGAATGCCAATGAAAAGTGTCCGAGGTACTGATATGTCCGACGTACTGATAAACCACGTTATACCTAGATTATAATATTATGCAAGATTGTGGTGTCGGAGCTGCTGTTTTCGGCTGGCGTTGGTTGCTGCTTTACGCAGCCTCGAACACCAGGATTTCATCACGTGCCTTTCTTGGCGATCGGCCACCGGATAATTTTCGGACTGAATGCACCGTACCTGAACTCCAAAGCCCAAAACCCGTTGTCCTGTCTCTGATTATACATACCTCTGGACAGATGATGACCCCCCACATCAAGGGGCCTTCCCCGACTCCTCTGCCCACCATGGCAGCCACCCACCTGGCACTTCGAGCTCTGCTCCTGCCGTCTATATATATCCCCCAGCTCTCCCATGCAAGCCGTCACGTCTTTCAAACACAGCACTCTACTCCTCTGCACCTGTCACCCCCCCAAGACGATGGTGTGGCTAAAATCATACCCTCTCAAAGCGGAACAAGCTCGTCGTCGTCATGGTCTTCAGAAGGAACGCACCCATTGACCCACGTCTACTTCAACGCCTTCATAATCGTGTCGAACGTCGCCAACCGAAACTAAAGACCAAACGCCAAGCTGGATACTACAAAAGCCTTAAAGACAAGCATGATAACTGTAAGGACAGTTCGAACTGAGGCTGACCTTCAAGTCTGCAGAAGTATCCAAAGTATAATGTGAAGACTTCGATACTCGAAGCAGTAGGACAAGGTATAGTAGTTCAGGCTCCAAAGCATATACTTTATACCACAGGGGTCAAGTGGTGAGACTAACAGGTTGGCCAAGTGGTTCGACTCGAAGTAAGGGAATGCAAAGTAAGTCGAAGCAGGAGGAATTGCAAGAAGGCCAAGTAGTATATAATTTGCTAGCTAAAGATCAATAAGAGACATGAGCAATAAGTGCTTATAAAACAGTAAAAATCCCTAGTGCCAAATAAGTGAAGGCACTAATTAACCGAACCCTAGCTAAGTGAGCCCTAGTGCAGCAAGCCAATAACAAGAGAGCCTAAGCCAGTAGTCAACATTTGGGCTGATCTAGGTCAGCAAGTGAAGCGAAGTGAGCGAAGTGAGTGAAGCAGGTGAAGTGAATGACATAGTGAAATAAGTACTGAGACTAAAGCGAATCGAAGGGTCATGACACAAATATCGAAGGAGTGTCATGACAATAACCCAACGACCGTTATTAAAAATAAATATGCCCCTGCCACCATAGACAATCTTGAGGGTATTAGAGGCAAGTTTAAAAGGCAAGGGAACAATATCCCCAAATCGAGACGTTGGTGTCATACTGACATTCGTTGCACTCAGTTTGCTATCAAACTCAAGAGCAAACTTAGAAATCTGATCCTCAAACCTACAAGTCACCATACATATCTTGGCTTATCACACCAATAACAAGAGCAATACTACTCAACGATTGCTGCAAACTCTTCTACTACATCTGTTTATGCTACATACATCACGGCATATCATTTGGACACTCATTGAACAAGTTATTAAGAAAATCTCCTCCTTAAGGGGGTGGGCCAATACTACCACATGGCATATCTCTACCAACTAGAGGCCTAGGAACATGAACGATAGCTCTAAAAGCTCCTACGAACCTCTATGATTCATTACACGTCATCGCTCTTTAGTTACCCACAAGATTGGTTAAGTTATGACATAATTTGTCTATGACATAATTTGTCTATGACATAATTTGTCTATGACATAATTTGTCTATAGGGGTACTCTGACCTTGGACCTCCTTTTACTTCCTATAGGCTACGAACCTAAGAGATGGTTCTATGGGATTCTCTTACGTCGACTACAGTTACCAAGCCTGGTTAGTCATGGAAAGTCTTGGAAAATGAGGGAACTACACTCCTTTAGCATAAATAGGATTGCCCTTTCCTTAAGAAAGGTCAAGCAGACAATACAGTAAATCGACTATCACATACTTCCACGTCTTTTCCAAGTTTCCAAGCATTCATCTTGTTACTCCTTGTTTCTGAAAAGTCAGTGAGGTGTTAACCTCTGACTTACCCCTGAGTTCCCAGACTCAACATTTGTTGCAACTTGTCTGAACCACTTCACTACATCACACACCTGATTGCTGCGTTGTGGAATAGTCTAAGCTACAATTCTTTGGCTCTGTTTCCTAAGACAGTGTGTTGTCTTAGTAAATTCATCCCTTCCTTGGGTGTCTTGCTGCCAGAATCTGCCATACTATACCCATTATATTAGCTCATCTATTTTATCGCGGTAAATGAACATGAGTTAATCGACCAACCTTTCTGGACACGTATATATTATGGTATCTGCCTCTCTCTATTTCTTGCTCCATCAAGTCATCCATCGATCCATAATCTTGGGAGACCCTCCCTCCTCCAATTACCTCTGGACCCGATTTCTCCAATCAGCTCTCGTCATCCGGTAGGTCCGAACATGACCCATGTGTGAGCTGTTACATGACAGGCACAAACTCACCAAGCAGCCATCCTTCCATTTCTGGCTCAGGCCTTGTCCCATACTTTGACGTCTTGGAGCTCTTCGGGTCTGCCCTAGTATGACAGCTCCGCCTGGCGAGTATCCACCAGATCTCACCGCGTTATTCACGTCCGGACTTGGCGTCGAAATTGTGGAATGAGAGGTGGCTTCCTGCGTCAAACTCGTGGTTTGTGTCTATTGAACTTGTGAGCTGAGTTGGCACTGTCTCATACGGAA